GGGGAGGGAAAGGACAGCTACTCAGTGCCAAAAACCTAAAACGATGGCCAGGCACAGTGGCTCATACCTATAATCCCAGCACACTGGGAGGGTGAGGCAGCAAGATCAGCCTTGGCAACATGGTAAAACCCCATCTATACTAAAAATAAAAAAATTAGCTGGGTGTGATGGCATGTCCCTATAGTTTCAGCTACTCAGGAGGCTGAAGGCTGCAGTGAGCCGAGATTGTGCCACTACACTCCAGCCTGGCAACAGAGTGAAACTCTTGTCTCAAAAAGACAAACAAACAAAACCATTAAAATATCAGAGGTGCTTTTTGGAGTACTAAACTTACTCTAATTGAGGTGAGCATTAACATACTCATTTTTAATGAAATAGTTTATCAAGCACTCCCAATACTAGTCTGAGGTAACCCAGAATCTAGCACCCTCCCCACTATAGGTAGTAGTAAGTGGTGTGTCAGACCTGACAGCCCTCACTCAAAATACAGTATCCTAAGGTGGGTACAGTGGTACATACTTGTAGTCCCAGTTACTTGGGAGGCTGCAAGGGCAGCACTTGAGCCCAGGAGTTCACACCTCTGAAAAGCCACTGTACTCCAGCCTGGACAACAGTGAGACCTCCATCTTTTTTTTAAAAGAAGGGGGTGGGCAGGCATGGGGGGGATAGGGACAATGGCTCATGCCTGTAATCTCAGCACTTTGGAAGGCTGAGGCGGGCAGGTAACTTGAGACCAGTTCAACACCAGCCTAGCCAATATGGCAGAACCCTGTCGCTACTAAAGTTACAAAAATTAGCTGGCATGGTGGCACATGCCTGTAATCCCAGCTACTCGGGAGGTTGAGGCACAAGAATCATTTGAACCCAGCAGGCAGAGGTCACAGTGAGCCGAGACTGCTCCACTGCACTCCAGCCTAAGCAACAGTAAGACTCTGTCTCAGACAAAACACAGTATCTTAACCTGTACATTATGTTTCCTTATCTAGATATAAACAACATCAGCCTACTGACATGGTCATGGAAAACCTGAAGAAATTACTCACATATTGTGAAGATATTTACTTGTATTACAAGTTGGCTTACGAACACAAGTTTTATGAAATTGTAAATGTGCTTCTAAAGGACCCTCAGACGAGCTGTTGTCTGAGGGACATGCTAGCAGGTTAGATGATTTCATAAGTGCCCGTTTTCTTGTACTGTTAGCAGGTTCTGACAGATGTGGTGAGTAGAAAAATGCATTAGAGATCTTTGCTAAAGTTGAACAATCCTGGTACTGTACCATGTCAGTCATTTGAAGGTAGTAGGCAGCGACTAAGAAACTTCAGAAAAATTCCTATTTAAATTGGATTGATTTTAGATGATTGTTCATCTATACCATTTTATATAGATACTAGTATTAAGATCAAAAGCTTCCTCTTCCTCAGGACAGCTTCTACTTTAGATGATCCAATAATGATTAAAGAATACCTGTACCTTCAGATTCCAGTTTCAAAGAAATTTAATATTATTTACACAGTTAAGTAACAGGTGATACATTTTCATTTGTTAGAAACTGATCTTTCTGTAATAAAATAGATTTTTAATTCAGTGTATGTCATTATTAACTGCTAAGGAAATCTTAGCCCTTATCTGCCTTAAAAGAATCTTTCCTGTAATTATTGCTGTATAGTCACTGCTTTTTGTTAATTCTTCAAATCACTTGGATGGTCCTGTTTTCCACTTAGTAGTCTACAGAGTTTTGACGTTCCTATTTCCTATATAAGAGAAATTTAAAACATTTTTTATTCTATCTATCTTAGGGTAATAAAAAAAGACTAACCACACATTTGGTTAAACTGCTTAGAAGAAGACATAATAAAGATTCCCCCATCTATACTTAGCCATAAACTTGAGTTACAGGCTAAATTACTCCAAATAAATAGTTCTAGGTACTTAATTAGGCCTTAGTATCTAAATAACAAAATAATTTCCCCAAATAAATAAGAGGAAGGCAGCCCTATACCTTTGTTGCTCTATGGTGACATTATTAAGGACCTGGCAAATCACTCACGTTTTAAAGCTGTAACTATGTGAAGCATTTATTAAGCTTTAATAGAAAAAGAGAACTACTCCCAAGAGCTGTGTTCTATACTCTCAAAAAAATATCTCTTAGGAGGTAACACAAAATTTAACTCCTCACAATAGTGATTTTATTAAATTAGTTGCTTTATAAAACATTGCAGATGTCATAATTGTTAACATAACAATTTACCAGACTGTAGTTAACTGGTGCAGTTTGCTGAGCATGTTTTATAAAGGAAAGGAAATGCCAAAACCCTGGTAAAATTGTTCCATTGCAGCCTAAGAGAACAAATATAGGTTTCTCAGACACTTAAATCAGGCAAATAAAAACAAGTAAAGACTTCCCCTCCCCCATCTGAAGCACTTCGTCAGTAGAAATAGCCTGATAAATAGTCTTTGCACTCAAGAGATTCCACAACATGTAATGCAGTAATGGAGAGGTTTACCTTCTTTAGCTTCGAAGCTGGAGGGTTTTGGTTAAATTTTATATCAAACTAGTGCTTTTCAGCCGCAGTATCTTCACTCTGAGATAAGCAGTCTTCTTCAAAATGTATTTTTAATATCCTCATGTTCAATTTTAAGACAAAGCAATTTAAATAGTAGGTGCACATCACATGCCCTTGCTGCAAACTGCTTTTCTTGACAAGTTATGAAGTAGTTCAAGGAGGTATGGTTAAGGCTGTATTACTGAATCGTGCTGGTAAATACTACACAATTTTTTTTGTCATGTTGCAACCATTTGTTTCCAATTTAGTGACAGCTGCTATGAAATCAGATAGCAACGATGACAACATTATTAGGTTTGTTTTGAACTATGATTTAGTAGCAACTGAAGTTACCAATTTTAACCCCTTGGCAGCAAGATCCAAGTTCCCTCATTTGCACAGTAGCACCTAAGTTCGAGGGGTTAAATAACCAGCACAAAAGATACTGCACTTCTGATTGTAGCATTTGGCAGAACTGAAAGGAAAGTAAGTTGTGCTACATGTTCAAGGGATTGTGGGCAACAAAAAGATGACACCAGGAAAAGATAAAATGTCACATGAAGTCTTCATAGTCTTGTACATATCCTCCATCATAACCACCATAATCTGCCAGATCATCTTTCATGGTGGCTTTTAATCCCCCTCCAGGAACCACACCTTTCTTCTTCTTTTTGGCTTTGCTTTGCTAAAGATGAAAGAGAGTTAATTCATGAAACTTTATGTGCTATGGGTATCTTATCTGGTACAGCAACCCTCATAGACAAAAACCTTTGGTCCCAGAAACACTAGTTCTATAAGGGACATCTGAGCCTACATGTTTTGGACTTGAACAGGTCTCAAAAAGGTCTCCCAGAGTCAGTCTCCAAAACTTGATATGGATCCTTGTTCCTGCTCTGGATACCGAGCCCTCCAGCAGGGGTTATAAGTTCTTGGTAGAAAGCCTTAACTTCACTGAAGAAAATTTAGAAAGTATGGATAAGTACTCCCAAATTTAAAATCAGAAAAAAAAAAAAAAGCTAACCTTTATTTGACATACTTCTCTTACTTTATTACTCTGCAAAGTGAATATTACTTTCTCTATTTTAGAAGGGAGAAAACTGAAGCTTAAAAAAGCTGATTTGCCTATAGCTATTAAGTGGCAGAGCTGGTATCTGAACCCAGTCTGTGACTTCAGCAATTTCTATTAACTCAGAAAAGGGGAACATGTCTGTAAACAGAAGGACAGTAATGGCACCCATACTCCTGTTCTAGTCTAACTTAAATGTGAGTTTAAGTAATTAGGACAGGTTCTTATTAAAATTGTTGAATGTCAGATCTATAACCCCGCTCTGATTTAACACACATTTCCCTACACAGCTTGCTCTTACCTTTTCTTGCTTCTGTTTTTCACTGCAAAGCACAGTCAGTGAATTGGTAATCTTTTTCAAGTCATCAATTTCCACTTTAAAAAAAAAGGGGGGGGGCATGCCATTAAACTTTAATTTTTAAGCATTTTGAAAAGTTAAAGCAAAATACATATATTCCATATATATCGATCCCAAAATGTACATTCCAAAAGTGTTATGAGAAATCCAATTTGTTCATTGTTAAACTTAAGTGACTTTTAAAGGACCATGAATTTCTCCTTTTTAAACATAAGGTGGCCAGGCACAGTGGCACATGCCTATAATCCTAGTACTTGGGGAGGCCTAGGTGTATAGATCACTTGAACCCACGCATTCAAGCCCAGGAATTTGAGACCAGCCTGGGCAACATAGCAAGACCCCCTCTACTAAAAATAAATTTTTTTTAATTTCTAATAATGACCTGTAATCACCAACACACCACTGCTCAACCAAAGAGAAACTGTCTTTGTAGCTCACAATGTTACCTATTATCCTTCTTAGTCTAAACAAATGGTGGAGAATAACATGCCCCCTCCCATTAACACATCCCCAATAATAAGTGAGAACAGACAAGTGAACATGGAATTACAACTTTTTTGTTTTTTTGAGACAGAGTCTCACTCTTTCACTCAGGCTGGAGTACAGTGGTGCAATCTGGGCTCACTGCAACCTCTGCCTCCCAGATTCAAGCAATTCTCCTGCCTCAGCCTCTGGAGTAGCTGGGATTACAGGTGCTCACCACCATGCCTGGCTAATCTTTGTAATTTTTTTTTTTTTTTTTTTTTTAGTAGAGATGTGGTTTCACTATGTTGGCCAGGCTGGGTCTCAAACTCCTGACCTCAAGTGATCCGCCCATCTGAGTCTCCCAAAGTGCTGGGACTACAGGTGTGAGCCACCTCGCCGGGCCAGGATGACAATTCTTAAACCTACAATGACAACACCCTATCCTATGATGTCTCCATTTTCTCACAAGGGATCTAGAATGAGAAAACTGACCAACCATCTCAGTGTCCTACCAAGAAATAGTCCTGTTCAGTGGATAGCATATCCTTTCATCCTTATAAAATATGAAACTGGAAAGAGACATTAATTTTTAGCTACCAGAAAGTTGTCAGTTTTGGTTAGAGAACACCTCCAAAAACCAGAAAAAAAATAGTACATGCAGAATAAAATATCAACTCTGAGCATATTACTGATCAAGCTTAGTGATAATTTCCCATAGAAAACCTAATTCACTGTGTAGGATTCCCTTTTCTCCATTTTAAAAACTACAAATACGGCCGGGCGCGGTGGCTCAAGCCTGTAATCCCAGCACTGTGGGAGGCCGAGGCGGGTGGATCACGAGGTCAAGAGATCGAGACCATCCTGGT